CTTGCTTCTGCTCTGACCCCCCCAAGAGAGCAAAGGAGATCCCCTCCTCTTCCTTATCGTGTCCTCACAAGCACAGATAAGCCCTAAGGCCGGCACCCCAAAAGCTATTGGGGGAAACAGGTCTAGCATGCGTGAAGCCGCAACCCAACTCCCAAGAACCTCCCCATCTGCTCCACAGTACTTAAACACAACATTTTTGATACGCTTAGGCATTGCTCTGCAAGGTTTGAACAGCAAGAAAAGTGGCAAGGTACACTTTAAACATGTGACCAGGGATCCCATTTGGCTTCCCATTCTCAGACTAGCAGTAACAATTACAGACAATATTAACTATGTACGCAGCAATTCTGTTAAATGTGTCATGAAGATCATATCATTCATATCAACTCTTTGAAGAAGTTTTTCTTTGTTCCCATTTGGCTGGTGAGAAATGAAGCTAATAAAGAGGCTAAGCGAGTCTCCCAGGGTTGCTGTTCTAGTTACTTTTCTACCAATGTGAAAAAACATCATGGCCAAGGCAACTTATAAAAGAAAGAATTTATTTGGGGCTCATGGTTCCACAGGGTTTAGGGCCTACGATGGTGGACAGAAGCAGCAGACATCGGTCTGTGGCTGGAGCAGCAGCTGAGAGCTGAGGGCTCACATCCTGAGTCACAGCAGGAAGCAGAGAGGGTTAACTGGGAACTGTGTGCATCCTTTGTAACCTCAAAACCTGCCATCCCCCCACTTGCCAATTAGATCCCCATTTCTCTTCATGGCAGCTGTGTCCTACTAACTAACCCCCTAGTTTCTGATGTGATGCAGGGTTCCATATGTTGTGGAATAATCTTTTTGTACACTGTGAAGATGTGTCACTCAGATTGGTTTAATAAAAAGCTAACAGCCAATAGCTAGGCTTATTCTTAGCTATAAATGTCTAGTCTTAGCTTGGCTTGTTTCTTGCCAGCTTTCCTTAACTTATGTTTTCCCATCTGCCTTTTGCCTCTGGGCTTTCCCATTCTCTTACTTCTGTAAATCTTACTCTTATTCCGTGAATTGCTGTGCAGCTGGATGGCTGGCTCCTGATGTACTCCCCCTTCTCTGACCACTATCCTTCTTCTCCCAGATTTCTGTCTATTTAGCCCTGTCCATCCTTTGTCCTGACTTGTTATTGGCCGTACAGATCTTTATGAGATCATCAGGTGTTTATTAGATCATAGACAGGCAAAGTATCACAGCTTCACAGAGTTAAAAAAATGCAACTATGTGACTAGACAAAAGGCACACACCTGGACATATATTCCCAACAGTTTATACTCTCATCAACAGTGAATGAGGGTTCCTGTTTGCCCCGACTTTAAAAAGCCAAGGTCAAGATGGATTCACAGCAAAATTCTATCATATCTTTGAAAAAGAACTACAACTAATGCTTCACAGATTGTTCCACAAAATATAAATAGAACACTTCCAAACACCATTTATGAAGTCAATACCAAAACCAAACAATGATACAAGAGAAAACTACAGTCCAATATCCTTAATGAACAAAGATGCAAAAGTTGTCAACAAAATACTAGCCAAACAAATTCAGATAAACAATATAAATATAATTCATCATGACCAACTTGACTTTATCTTAGATGCAGAGATTGGTCAACATCTGCAAGCTGATAAGGGTATATGTTCATATAAATGGAATGAAAGACAAAAATCAAATAATCATCTCATGAGAAAACCCAGTATGTCTTAATGATAAAAATTCTAGAGATAATAGAACAAGAGAGAATATACCTCAACCTCATAAAGGCTATATGACAATCCTATAGTCAACATCATCCTATGTGTAGAACAATTCAAAGCAATCCCATTGAAATCAGAAATAAGACAGAGATGTCTGGGCAGAGGTGGCACATACCCTTAATCTCAGCAGTCAGGAGGCAGAGGCAGGCAGATCTCTGTGAGTTCGAGGCCAGCCTGGTCTCCAAGAGCTAGTTTCAGGACAGGCACCAAAGCTACAAAGGGAAACCCTGTCTCAATAAATAAATAAATAAACAAACAAACAAACCCAAACAAGACAGACATGCTCAATGTCTCTACTCCTGTTCAATATAGGCTCAAAATCTTAGCTAGAGCACAATATAAAAGAAAGAAATAATCAGGACACAAGTAGGAAAATAAGTCAAGCTATCTCTATGTGTAGATGATTCTGTTCTATGCAGGAGACCCTAGAGACTACACAGAATCCCCTGGAACTAAATAACACATCCAGCAAATTAGCAGAGTACAAAATCAGCACACAAAACTCAATAGACTGTCTATAAACCAATGACAAAGATGCTGAGAGGAAATGAAGGAAGCTCTCCCATTCACAATAGCTCCAGTAACAATAGGCACACAGCAGATCTCACCAAGGAGATGAGGAACCTCTATGACGAAAACTTTACAACTAAGGAAAGAGATCCAGAAAGAAACTAAATGATGGAGAAACCCCCCAAGCTCAAGGACTAGTAGAATATTAGAAAAAAATGACTATCCTACCAAAAGCAATTTATGGATCTAATACAGTCTAAATCAAAATCCCCATGTAAGTTTTCAAAAAAGTAGAAAACCAATCATAGAATTCATACGGAAACACAAAATTCCCTAGATAGTCCAGGCAATCCTAAGCAAAAAGAATAATGGAGCAGGCATTATTGTATCTTTTTAAAAATATCACATTCATTTATCTATTGTGTTGGGGTTGAGATGGGACACACGCATGCCAACACACAATGTGTGTGTGTGTGTGTGTGTGTGTGTGTGTGTGTAGTGGGGGATGGGGAAGGACTTCCTGGGGAAGTCAATTCTTCCCCTCCATTACGACACCTGGGAATCAAACTCAGGTCACCAAATTTGATGGCAAGCAATTTTACCAACGCTGAGGTCAGGAATGAGAGTCTCATCATTAACTGGTTCAAGTAAGCAGCCGTGTTAAGAAATTTCACATCACAGGGCAGTGGTGGTGCACACCTTTAATCCCAGCACTTGGGAGGCAGAGGCAGTGAAACTCTGTGAGTTCAAGGTCAGCCTGGTCTACAGAGCCAGTTCCAGGACAGCCAGGGCTACAAAAAGAAACCATGTCTCCAAAAACCAAAATCACCATCATCATCATCATCCCATGTGGCAGGGAGCTGCAGTCTGATTTTTAGGCCTGAGGACAGACCATGGCTGTGGATCACAAAAATTTGGGTCCAGCACAGGCACTTAGAAAAACGATTAATAAATGGAACCTCATGAAACTGAAAACGTCTGTATGGCAAAGGGCACAAACATTTGGAAAAAGTGGCAGGCTATAGAACAGGGGGGAATTTTACCAGTTACACATGAGATAGTCAATATAATTAAAAACCTGGATATCAAGGAAACATATAACCCAGTTTAAAATGGAGTACAGGCTTGGCGATTGTGGTACACGCTTTTAATCCCAGCACTCAGGAGGCAGAGGCAAGCGGATCTCTGTGAGTTCAAGGCCAGCCTGGTCTACAAGCTAGTTCCAGGACAGGCTCCAAAGCCACGAAGAAACCCTGTCTCAAAAAACCAAATAAATAAATAAATAAGTGGAGTACAGAACTAAATAGAGAGTTCTCAATAAAGGAATCCCAAGTGACTGAAAAACACTTAAATGTTCAACAACCTTAGTCTTTGTTCTTTGTCTTCCTTCACTGGTAGTCGTGTGGTCATGACGCATTATAGCTTCACCGCATTGGCATTTTCTGTTAGTTATCGCTTCTATGGAGCTCTCCCAATAAAACCTTTCTGAAAACCCTCTCTATCTCCACTCTTCCTTTGCTTTATCATTCTAGTTATCACCAACACCGTGGAGATGCGGTCTCCCTATAGTACTCAAGCTCCTGAACAAAAGCAATCCTCCTGCCTCTGCCTCCCAAACAGCGAAAAGGGATTTCTATGGTGCATAGCTGCTTCATTGCTTTTGCAACACTTGCTAGTACCTAAATATTACGTTTTATAGTATATAGCATCATTTATTTTACTATTTTCTGAATCCCCATGGCTAAGTAAGTACCTTGAGGGCACAGAACAATTTCCCTTTTTGCTGTTGTTTGCCTAGACCCTGTGAATGTATCTGGTACATGGCAGTCGCTCCAGAATCACTTGGTGAATTATTTCATGGCTTTTGGGGAAGAGAAATGGGGAAGCAAACCTCAATTTTGTTATTACCCCTGATGACCTTTTGAAAGCATTTTTCTCAGTGGATAATGGCTCGGGAGGTTGTATGAGCCTAGTAACCTGAGTTTGATTCCCAGCACTATGGGAGAAGCAAGGCTGAGGGGAGAATTTGTCAGTTTGGTGGGTCACTTGCACAGTCTTTTTTTTTTTTTTTTTTTTTTTGTTCGCTTTGCTTTAAAGTAGTTCTACAGTGTGTATTTCAAAGTGAAGAGGGAGCTAGCCGTCAGAAGTCGCAGCAGGAGCCGGTTTGTGGTGGAGCACGTCTTTAATCCCATCACTCACGAGGCAGAGGCAGGCGTTTCTCTGTGAGTTCGAGGCCAGCCTAGTCAACAAGAGCAAGTTCCAGGGCAGACTCCAAAGCTACAAAGAAACCCTGTCTCGAAAAACCAAAAAAGTCGCAGCAGGCTGGTAAAAGAGCTGACACCTTTAGTCCTTACAGGCTCGCGGCCACAGCCCGGAAGCAGGACGGCGTTAGCGTCAAGTCCCCGCGCGTGCACAATGGGAGGCTCGGGAGCGCGCCTACCAATTAGGACAAATAAGACCCACTTTTTAGAGGTTTTGGGAGAGTGCACAACGTTGCCTGTCACTGAGGAAGACGCTAGAGAGCTCCTAAAACAAACCAAGCAGGACACGCGTGCCGCCGCCTTCGCCGCTAGGGTAAAGGATGCAGGCGGCGAGCACGACCCGAACTGATCGAGCGCGAGACAGCGGAAGCGCGCACGCACAGTCCACTAGGAGACGTCACTGCCTCCGACGAGATTGAGACGCTCTCGCGATAGGCTATGCCGGGCTCTCCGGAAGTGACTCCCCGGAAGGAGCATGTCTGCTTTCCTTGTCCTGCCTAACGCGGCGTGCTGATCCTCCGGCACCATGCAGTCGGATGATGTGAGTTCCCTCCTGTTGCTCTGGAGCCCCGGGGTTTATGCGGGCCACTTCGTTCTCTTAGGACTCAAACCCACATACTTAGATGGCCCGTTCGTCTCCTGTTTTCTCGGATTGCGAGACTTGCAGAACCCGGTTTTCAAAACTGGGTCCCCACTCGAGCCCCACTGCGGTTAAAAGGCCAGGACACCCCACCCTCCCGCCGGATCGACTCACTTCGTCCCTGGTGCCTAGCGGTAAAGGCCCTTGTGCCGTTGCCAGCTGAGTGACTTGGAAGGCAGGAGAGGTGCCAAGTTTGCTCGTCCATGAGCGTTCCTTTTCTGTATACGTATCCTGTGTTAGGCTTTTTCTCTACCTTGCTCTACTGTCTGGGTCATAATTTCGGCAGTATCCTACGTTCGTCGGTTTGCAGGAGTTGTTAATACTTATCAATTCCAGTAGGCAATGTGGTAATTACTGAGTACTTGGTTATTAATCAGTCAGACAACACTTGTGTTTTCATAAGCACTGTGGGGATGGAGAATAAACGGATGAAACGTTTGCATGGTAAACGATACCACGAAAGAGGAGTTATGAGGAAGAGTGGGGAGGAGAGACCACTGCAGAAATGGCCAGTCAGGCATTTCAATAAAAAGCAAAGAAATCGGTAACGAGCCAGCCACTGAAGGAGGGTAGGAATGGTAGAGGTACAAAGATCGGAGATGGGACAGGCGGAATACAGAGGGCATCGGAGGGGCTTGTTATAGGAATCAAGATGGTGAGAGAGGGATGATGAATTTGATATCCTTGCCAGTGCGAGGTCAGGTGGAATCTTGAAGGAAACGTTTTTAGGTCGTTTTAGTGGGAACTGGGAAGAATGTTGTATTCTTTGGAGGAGTGTGGAATTAAAAGTGGCATCTCGGTGTGCTTATCATTGGGATCCTTTCACAGATGCTAAGTGGGCAGCTAGATACACAGACAAATGTGGTGCTTAGGAGAGATCTGATCCAATGCTGCTTAAAAGCCACAGTGTGAGTGGTATCCGCACTCACTCATTGTTTCCTACTTCTTCACCAGACACCCCTATTAAATACTCAACATATGCATTATGCTTTGACCCTTCTTCGTTTTTTCTTTAATTGCTTTAGAGTCTTTCTCAGTTCCTCTAGGCGGTCCATCCAAAGACTTCTTCTATGCTCTCATACACCCATATATAGCTCTTAAATTGACTGCAACTTGTTGCAGCGTCATTCATATACTTTCTCATAACTAAATACTGCACTTGAAGGCTGTACTTTTTTTCATCCACAAACATTACTGTGTTTTATGATGTCAGGGCCTGGAGATGTCAGTGCTTTTGCGTTAGCATAAAGAACACGTTAGCTAGAGAGAGACAGTGAAAGGGGATAAAGTTGTAAGATGTATGTCTAAGTATGTAGTACTGTGAAAGGGGATTAAGTTGTGGGATGTATGTCTAAGTATGTAGTACTGTGAAAGAGGATAAAGTTGTGGGATGTATGTCTAAGTATGTAGTACTGTGAAAGAGGATAAAGTTGTGGGATGTATGTCTTAAGTATGTAGTACTGTGAAAGGGGATAAAGTTGTGGAATGTATGTCTTAAGTATGTAGTACTGTGAAAGGGGATAAAGTTATGGGATGTATGTCTTATTTATGTAGTACTGTGAAAGAGGATAAAGTTGTGGGATGTATGTCTTATTTATGTAGTACTGTGAAAGAGGATAAAGTTGTGGGATGTATGTCTTATTTATGTAGTACTGTGAAAGAGGATAAAGTTGTGGGATGTATCTTAAGTATCTAGTGCTGTGCAGCCTTTGACAGTGGATAATGAACACACGTGAAAAAGAAAAGTCACCGGGTATCTATGATGTGACTCTTTAACACAATGCACAGGTACATACTACAGATGATAGAATGTATGTATATACTGGAAAAAAAAGTTGCCAACTATTAATTAAATTTTGTTGCTAAATAAGCTCTGTAGACCAGGCTGGCCTTTAATTTACAGAGATCCGCCTACTTCTGCTTCCCAAATACTATGTTACTGTGTAAAGGAAACAAGTCAGGCCTATTAAAAGAATACTTATTTTTTTTCCCTTTATATTTGGGCGCTGCAGCACTGTGCTATGACAGGAATTCTACCAGTGAGCACCATTTGCAGCCTGGAGAACACTGTCTCTTTTTACATTAAACAGCACCTTTGGGGCCAGAGTAAATGGGTTTTCACTTTGTCTTGCAGGTTATCTGGAATACACTAGGAAACAAACAATTTTGTTCTTTCAAAATAAGGTGAGTATATTGCAGTCTAGACTAAACCATATTTAGTTGCCCCCTTGGTTGGAAACATTTTTTTTCCTTGCATCCTAGAACCAAGACTCAGGGCTTCTGCAGAAATGAGTACAGTCTGACTGGGCTGTGCAATCGGTCATCTTGTCCTCTGGCAAACAGTCAGTATGCGACCATTAAAGAAGAGAAAGGTATGAAAACCACACAAGAGTTTATAAAAGGTTCTTTCTAGTTTGTCTGTAAATAGTAACATGACTGTTTAACTTATCCTCAGGACAGTGCTACCTGTATATGAAGGTCATAGAACGAGCAGCTTTTCCCCGGCGGCTCTGGGAACGGGTAAGGTTCACTGAGAAAACTGCAGGGACCGTTGCTCAAGAGTAAGAGTGACACTTTGGCCATCTCTAGACATTGAAGCCATCTTCTGTGTGCCCTGTCATTACTAACTAATGATTTACCATCCCCCTTGTTTCCCTTTTCTGTTCCACAGGTCCGACTTAGTAAAAACTATGAGAAAGCATTGGAACAAATAGATGAAAATTTAATTTACTGGCCTCGCTTCATTAGACACAAATGTAAGCAGAGGTTTACCAAGATTACCCAGTACCTGATTCGAATTAGAAAACTTACACTGAAGCGGCGGTAAGGGCCAAGTTCATTCCTTTATTTACGTTCAGCCTTTCCCTAGACCGTGTCACAAACAGCGCTTCCTATTAAACTCACCTGTGACTAATCCTTTATGCCCAAGACAAATGCCTGTGACTAATCCTTTTGTCCCAAGACAAAACTGGGATATGGATGTGCCCAGTGGCTCTGCAGGATTTTAAGGCAGAAAATGTGTGCCCTACCCACCTGAAATTTTTTCTGTGTAGGTCCCTGAGAAAAGCTGAAATGAAAGGTTTCAAAATGATGTAAAAATGTGATTATCAGAAGTATGAACTACACTCAGGGTAGAGATGACATGGAATCCACAGGACTAATAGTTCTGAAGGAGGCCAAATGGAGGCCTTTTCATTGAGATCAGCAGAGAATCTTAAAAATCATGTGAACCTTTTTCAGAAAATTCCCGTTTCTTGGTTCATTGAAGCATTAATCCTAGTGTAATGAACCTAAAGAAAATAAAAATAACCACATTAAAACACATGTTAAAAGCCAGGCAGTGGTGGTGCACACCTTTAATCCCAGCACTCAGGAGGCAGAGGCAGGCCGATCTCTGTGAGTTTGAGGCCAGCCTGGGCTACAAGAGCTAGTTCCAGGGCAGGCTCCAAAGCTACAGTGAAGCCCTGATTCGAAAAACAAAAAAAAAAAACCACGTTAAAATATCTCACTTCTATAGCTGGGCATGGCAGCGCACGCCTTTAATCACTTGGGAAGCAGAGGCTGGTTGATCTCTGTGAGTTCAAGGCCAGCCTGGTTTACAGAGCTAGTTCAAATCTTCTGACCCTGTAGTACACACTGGCCTAGAACTTAATACGTAGCTTCCAACTCACAGTGATCCTTCTGCCTCAGGTCAGTGCTAAGTTACTGATGTGAATGAGCCACTACTTGGGCTCCTGGCTTTTCCTACCATTCAACTGTAGGTGTGTGTGTTCATGCTCAAATGCACATAGCAATCAAACCTAGAGCTTTGCGTGTGCTGGGCAGATGTGCTGTCAAGAGAAAACCAATTCTAATTCTTTAATATTTAGAATGAACTTGAATTTTCTAATATAATGTATTTGATTTCTGCTAGGAAGAAACTTGTTCCCTTGAGCAAGAAGGTTGAGCGGAGGGAGAAGAGAAGAGAGGTAAACACTGTTCTGATGCTTACATAGGTTCTCTATCTCCATGTGAGAAAGGGGTTGGTGCCTGGGCTTCATCATGAGTCAAATTGGGGAGTGTCTCTTTAGTGACATATGGCCACTTTCATATCTTCAGATTATGATTTTCACTGAAGGCTAAAAGCAGATACTCTCCATTTGGATATAATGGAAAACAGTAAAAAGGTATTTTAGATAACTCCGTATCTAAAATTCCTCAGTCAGACATTTCAGAATTTAGAATTTTGACATTATCTGACTCATGCATTATCTTTAGCCGAGTTTAAACCCTGTCTGTAAGTAGCCTTATGGCTATTTTGGTTATATAACTTAGAAAATTGAAAAGTTTTGATTATTGGTTAAAAATAAACAAAGAATGGGACACACTGCTCTGATCTCGGGTTAAGCTACTCTGAAGTAAACTGGATTGTTTTGTTACGAAAGGGTGGTGACGGTAATATGCATGGAGAGGACAGTGTGCTCCAGAAATTCCAGCTGTTGTCCAGAGTAGTCTCTGTCCTCCTCTCTGATATTTCTGAGTTGGGCTGAGCTTCCTCCTCAGAATCAGCTGTTCCGACAAGTTCCAGTTCTCATTCCTTCTTGGCATTTACAGTGCTCTCTCTTTCACCAAATAACATTCACTTCCTTTTGTCCTTTAAGGAGCACCTTCAATAATATTTGGTACTTTTATTCCTACTAATCACATGGACCTTTAGATCTCTAATCTTGTTGTTTCATTGCTGTCCAAGACAGCCTCTTACTATGTGACCTGAACTGGCCCAACATGATCCTCCTTCAGCAACCCAGGGTACTGGAATTACAGGTGTGTATCACCACACAGAGCTTAGATGATTGGAGACTGCACTGAATTCTTAATTCTCCACTAATTATACACCAGTTTTTATTCAAGTCCAGCTAGTGACTTTCCATATTCCCTAATTATCAAACAGGTGCTCTTGTAAACATTGCGGAGAAAGTTACACTTTTCCCACGTGAATTCAGAGGCCTCCTTCCCACCAAAAGTATTTTCTGACACTTTTTAAAATCCACTTATATATTTATAGTGTACATAGAGCACACATGCATGACATAGATGCATGTGGAAGTCAAAGGACAGCCTTGAGTGAGTCCTCAAGCTCCTCCTACTATTTTCTTGAGAGATCTTTAATTGACTTGAACTCTGTAGGCCAGGATCTTTCCCACAAGCTTCCAGGGGTCCACCTATCTGCCTCCTTTCTTGCAGTTGGCACAGTTAGTAGTGTGTGCCATCATGTGCCATTCTGTGTGGATCTTTGGAGTTCAAATTCAGGTCCTCATATTCACAGGTCAAACACTTTACCAACTGAACCATCTCTCCAGCCCCTCCTGACATTCTTAATGTATGTAAGCATGTATGTATAGTTTGTCTGTCGAGAACTTGTTAAAAATCCAGAATACTATTGCTGAAGTCATAGGAATTATTTTCTTTGTTATATTTATGCAAATTATAGATGGGAATTCTTGAATTGAAAGGTTCCAAGAGCTTTTGAGAGGGAAAGAAGAAATGTGTCTGGCTAGAGAGGCGAAAGCCTCACTAAATGGAGGCAAGTAGAAAATAACTACACTACATCATACTGCTATTAAAAGCTGGTAATTATATTTGTACAGGCTAGAAAATGAGTCCTAATGGAGCAATGGATTTGTACTTTTTCTTATAGGAAAAAGCATTAATAGCTGCCCAGCTGGACAACGCCATTGAGAAGGAATTACTGGAAAGACTCAAACAAGAAACGGTGAGAAAGCTAGTAGCATTGGCAGGTGTTTTCTTAAGTAGTAGCACCATGCTAGGAAATACAGAAAATGCATTTTTAAATTTTTATTTGTTAGTTTGTTTATTTATTTATTTAGGTGGGGTTTTTTTGTTTGTTTGAGACGTGGTTTCCTGGTTGTCCTGGAATTCATTTTGTAGACCAGGCTGGCCCCAAACTCAGAGATCCACCTGCCTCTGCCTTCCAAGTGCTGGGATTAAAGGCGTGCGCCACCACTGCCCATGTAATCTATTTATTTTTTAACATCACAAATAGCTGTCCCATGGCAATTTGTGCATGGAATAAAACAAATACATGTAGACCTGTCCTGGTGAGGCCTTTTTTTGCCCTTATTTCCAGTTGACACTTCCAAGCTCAACAGTTCTGTATAAAAACATAGAAGTCATAGGTTTTCCCTCCGTCCATGCATAGCCTCCAGGGACAGACCTGATTCCGGGCAGCAACGAGCAAAAAAGAGAGATATGCAGAAAGCTGGGATTGGATGGACTGGGCTCTTGGATGAAAAACCTGAGCACCCTGGAAGCTCATCATGTTTACTATATAGAGTTGAACAGGGAGGCAGATTTTTACACACAGCTGAACAAGGGAGTAGGGTATTACATGCAGACAAGTAAGGAGGCAGGGTTTATGGTACACAGCTGGACCAAGGAGACAGGTTTAGCTAAATCTTAGTAGGGGCAGTCTCTGTAGTGGGGACTACTTCAGACCATAAATGTTGGTGGAGGCGGAGCTATAGTAGACATTTCTGTACACATTGTCAGCATGTGCACTCAGACAAGAGGACAGCTTTGCCATTCTTTCAGGGTCTTATGCTCTGGGGTCCTTGGCATAGCCATACCATGTCAGCAAACATTCACTCCAGTACCTCCCTATAGTTGATTTTGCTGTTTTGAGACTATATCTCATGATAGCATCACATTCACTTTGTAGCAAAAGATGATTTTAATTTCTTGATCTTCCTATCTCCAACCTCCCACGTGGTTGGTATAGGGAGGTCACCATGCAGGTGTATATGATGTTGGAAATTGAACCTAGGAATTTGTATGTGCTAAACAAGTACTCTGTCGATCAACCTCCATCCTCAATCCCAATGGGTAGAGTGTTTACTTCTATGTGTTACTCTAGTCTTTTGAGGTTCTTTAAAATAAAGTTTTAAAAAACCTTTTTAAAAAGTATCTCAGTCTTTTGATTAATAACAGTGTCATTTAGAAAGATGGAAAGGTGATTAAAACGTGTTATTTCCCTTTCTAAACAAAATTCGATTTGTCCTAATGTCCGTGGTTTCATAAACTAGTAGATTTGAAATGACTTGGCTTTCTTCTCCACAGAAGCTATCTATTTAATATCAACTGCTGATTGTTAAAAGTTGTAAATATACTGTACAGAGGTTGGAAAGCTATAGAAATATTGTTTATCATAGTTTTCCTTATTTAGTCCCTGATGATGAATAATATGCTTGTTGGTCAGAGGAACTTTGAAAAATGTAATACTCAAGAACAGTTGAAGGCAGTCTGTGTTTATTCTTCAGTATGGCGACATCTACAACTTCCCCATCCATGCCTTCGACAAGGCCCTTGAGAAACAGGAAGCAGAGAGTGACTCTGAAGATGAAGAAGATGAGGAGGAGGAAGATGAAGAGGTAAGTATGGTTTGTCTTGTTTTAAAACGCAGCAATCTTTAGGATAACATGTTTTCATGTAATTCAGAGGCAGCATTATTTTCCCCTTTTGTTCTTTGTTTTGTTTTAAAGATTTGTTACATAGCCGGGCGGTGGTGGCGCACGCCTTTAATCCCAGCACTCGGGAGGCAGAGGCAGGTGGATCTCTGTGAGTTCGAGACCAGCCTGGTCCACAGAGCTAGTTCCAGGACAGGCTCCAAAGCCACAGAGAAACCCTGTCTCGAAAAAACCAAAAAAAAAAAGAAAAAAAAAAAAAAGATTTGTTACATATACAGTGTTCTGCCTGCATGTCAGAAGAGGGCACCAGATCTCATTACAGATGGCTATGAGCCACCATGTGGTTGCTGGGACTTGAACTCAGGACCTCTGAAGAAGAGCCAGTGCTCTTAACCTCTGAGCCATTTCTCCAGTTCTCCACCCCCCTTTTGTATCATGTGATGATTAATTCTGGTTCAGCAGAATTCAGCCAATAAACTATAGGCTTTTATATCCTTAATTTTTCTTTTTAATTTATAATTGTTAAACTTGAGAGTAATAGGTTTAGAAGACTCTGATTCACTTACTTATGAAAAGATGTAAAACTACGTGTCTAAACTGGATCTTCATTTTTTTTTTCCTATCCTGGTAACTATGTTTTATCTTAGGATGTGGGTAAAAGAGAGTTTGTAGAAGACGGTGATGTGGATGAGAGTGACCTGAGTGATTTTGAGGTGAGCTCTGTGGAATAAAGAATGTTTTGTGGCATGCTACAAAAGCGGGGAGCAGGGGAAACCTGAACACAGGAGCAGATAAACTCTTTGTCTGTTCTGTATTGGCTGAGCAGGGAAAAGTCTGGAGAAATTGTGCACTTCCTTGTCTGACTTCTATCTCTTCGTATTAGGATATGGATAAACTGGATGCTGGCAGTGATGAAGAACAGGATGACGACTCCTCCAGTGAAGAAGAAGAGAAGGCCCTTAAAGCCAAACACAAAGGCAAAGCACCCTTGAAAGGACCTTTGCGGAAAAAACGGGCCTATGTGGAGATAGAGTATGAGCAGGAGACAGAGCCCGCAGCCAAAGCCAAAACCACATGAGTCTCCTTCATGTTTTATCCTGAAAAGTCAACACTTCCAACTGTGCTCCTTTGTGCTATATTTCATACAGTATTTATATTGTTAATATATATATGTCACTCCAGGGAGTGAGTGGAGAAGAGAGAGCCTTACAGTGTAAAGAATATTTTTGTAACACATGCTGTTTGTAACAGCCTGAGCCCAGGGATCTGACAGAGGAGTCCCTGGAGCTGGACTGACACTGTGTGTAAATGGTTCTAAATTATAAGTGCTAAATTTTCCCTTCCCAGTTTTTACTTAGAAATGCCAGTGTTTCTTTATCCTTTTTAGTTTTTTGAGACAGGGTTTTTCTATGTAGCCTGGGCTGTTCTGTAACTCTTTCTGTAGACCAAACTGGCCTCAAACTCAGATCCACCTCTGCCTGCTGAATGCTGGGATTAAAGGCTTGTGCCACCACCACCCAGCTTCAATTTTTTCCCCTTGTTCAGTTTCTCTTATAAACTGAAGAAAACAAAAGTTCCAACTTACAATGTTTAGTATAAAAATAGATTTTTCCATAACTCCATCCACACCCTTCCTTGCTGGTTGGTCATGGTGTCACTCAGGGACACCTGCAGAGCACTGCTGCACTTTACTGATGCAGCTCACCACTGTGCTGTCTTCACAGGACAGGACGATTCTAGACAGAAGACCCTGAAACATGAAAACAAACAAGCAGTACATTTGTAAAACCTGTTTCCCCATTGTCTTAGTTCATACATTCGAGTGTGGGCACTAAAGGAAGTACCTCTACCGGAACAGGTGTCAGTTAAAACCTGTTCCACGAGTGTACGTAGCCCAGTGGCTTCTAAGAGCCTGCTTCATTCTAGCCAAAACAACTCAAGTGGACCTCTGGCTGGAAAACCACACAAACGCGTGTAAAGAGCAACAGTGAAATGTTTGAATAAACTGAAGCAAACCATACCTGAGCTCTACATATTTTGGAGCATGAATTTCTTCTCATGCTCCTTTAATCTTTAGAGATTCTTATTGTAATAAAAATGGGCAATTAGTCTTTCAATTACATGTAAATAAATATATGTTATAGATTCCATAAACTGTAGTTCTGAGAATTTTGTGGGACATGAAAATGAAGAACTTCCTGTTGCTAAATTGAGTATTTGGAAATTGGGGAGCTAGCTCAGTGGGATGAGCATGAGGACCTGGGTTCAGTCCATGTTTAAAACTCACACTTGTCATCAGTGGGAGCACACACCTGTAACCTAAGTATGGGGAAGAGGAAACAGGTAGATCCCTGGGGCCTACTTGGCCCACCAACCAACCAGCCAAGCTTGCTTGAAGAATTCCGTGTCAGTGAGAGATCTGTCTTAAAAAGTGGGGACGGTGCGTGAATGACACCCTATGTCCCATATACCTGCACTTGGACACAAGAATATGGCCAAACATCTCAAAAGGTGTCCCTCCATAGGAACACCATAGTATCTCAATTACAGTATTACTCCTTTGCAGCTAAGAACCTCATTTCTTTGGGCTTTGTTGGTACTGGTTTTAATTCAAAGTCTAGAGCAGAACTTTAAGGTGTCTGTCTCACTAACACAGTGGGTGTCGTGTCAATCTCAGATCACAATTGTATAAAATCCTGGTGGCTTGTTCTTTCTTGTTCTGAATGCCAGTAATATCTGATCTTTTTTGCTCTAAATGGTTTTGAATAGCATTAAAAGAATTTGGCCCTACCACCAAAAATAAATAGGGTAAGGTATCGGACAAACAGTCCAAGACTACAGAGTACAGAGGTAGGAGCCTAACACTCTATGTTCATGTCCAAACATGCTTGGGCATACAAGTAGTTAAATCACAATTAATCACTGGGGTTACCTAGGAACAAGGCCAACTGAAACTTACTTGCAGACTCTTGCCTTACCTTCACTTGCCCCTGAGAACAATGGTCCAGAAGAATCAGGCAGTCTGTGGCTTCCTGGAGCAGGGTGCTCTTAGTTGCCTCGGATGTGAGGCTTGTATCCCTTGCTACATCGCATATCAGTTTCAGGAGAGCCTTCAGCAAGACCACAACTCTGCAGGAAATTCTGAAATCACAAAAAACAACAAAAAATTTCATATTGCAAACTGGAATGTTAAACTTGGACAAAACTTGGTCAAGATACGGGAAAACTGAAGTCAAATGATGTTTGCTATCACAGCACTACAAACAGGACCAAAGGCAGACCGCAGATTGTTAGCCTCAAAGTTCCTTTCTTTCTACTACACCCAGCCTGTGTACATACATTGGTTCACTTGCTCAGGAACACTTGATACCAGTTAGGAAGCAGAGACAGGTGGCTCTGAGATTTTTGAGCAGCCAGGGCTACAGCAAAACTCTGCTGTCTCAAACAAACCTCCAGGAAACTGTTTCCTGCCAATGCTTTGGGCTGAGATTATCCTGCTCAAGGCCCTATAATTTTGACCTGAGATGAGACAGCCTAGTCATGTGAGTTAATGCTAGGACATTAAGGGCTGCAGGCAGTGGTATGTACTTAGACTCCCAGCACTGAGGACACGGAGGATCTAGAATGTGAGCTTTACTACAGAGAAAAACCTTGCCTTAGAGAAATAAGGATGACTGGCAGGGCTTAAGTGTCACTATGAACTTTCAGTCACTGGCTACTCACTTGCCTAGTCTATTATTCTATTTTATTATTAATTGCTTTTCTCTAAGTCTTCATCCTTTTGATGAAATAGACACAACTATCGGCTACACGATGTTCTGACTACACCATGCCACTGTTACAGGCTTTAACGTGGTAAGTTTTATAAGCCAGACTTTAATGAAAGGTGGAAAATAACATGAACTGTGGGACACAGACACTTGCACGCACACACACATACACACCCAATATTTCTGGATAGTACTGTAACTAGAAAACTCATTTTCATCACTTCATCTCAACTGCTCAGTGTTTCCCAGCTTGTGTCTCTAACCACTCACTGCAGTGTGCGTGTTCACCACTCCCATGCTATGCGCCCACACAGAAGTGCACATGCCCCTGCCCTCACATCCCGACATGTCTGTACTTTTCTCTTTTAATGGCCCAGTTTAGAATGAGTTTGATTCAATTTCATTTAATTCATCTCTTCATCCTCTAAATACTTATGGACCTAATAACAGGTACCGAGTGCTTCAGGAATACATTCGATGTTGTCTTCTATTCTGTAGTTTAGTGGGGGACAAAGATGACAGGTGAAGAAATGCAGTACAGTAACAAACGTGACGAAGTTTCTTGACTCCTGGTATATTTATAAGAAAGAAAATACACTCCCAAACAGACTAAGTTGGGGCTCTTGATTTTCTGGCTGCATTCCAGAATTCTGTCCATTCATGCAAGAAAGCCATTAGGTGACTAGGCAGTTCAGGTGGTCCTTTCCTCCTGACACTGTCAAGCCACATAAGGAATGCCTTCTAAATAAGCGCATCCTCAGTTAGCAACCGAGTCACTGCTCTGCGGATGTTGAACGATGCGCCCTGGAGCACTCCAAGCACACCATTCTCCCGTTAGACTGAGGACCTGTAGGAAGAACACTTAAACACGCCTACTCAAGCACTTCTCTAAGTAGCCTTTTTGGGGAGGAACAGTGATAAGGATGGAACTCTCGAACATGACAGACAAGTGCTCTACCACTTAACTACACATCAATCCTAAACAGCCTTTAGTATTTTGATATAAATTCTAATTACAATCTGGACCGACCATCTGTGTGCTGTGCTGAATGAAAATGGACCCCTTAGGCTTATATATTTGAATGCTTGGTCCCATCTGGTGGAACTGTTTTGGAAAAACTTAGGAGGTGTGGCACCAGGGGTGGGCTCTGTTTTAAAAGCCCATTCCGTTCCTAGTTGGCTCTCTTCCTTCATCCTTTGTGTCTCAGGATGTGAGCACTCAGCTACTGCAGCAAAGCCATACCTGCCTGTCTGCTGCCACGCTCCCTTCTGCAATGGTCAGGGACTCTAACCCGCTGAAGCTGTAAGCCCCAGATAAACTTTCTTCTATAAACTGCCTTGGTCATGGTATCTTACCAGAGAAATAGAAAAGTAATACAATCTACAATGTTTCCCAACTTCCATGACCATAGAATTTTTGTTGTTTTCGTGTGTGGGGTTTGTTTTGTTTTCTGTTTTTTTGAGAAAGCTCTCTATGTAGCCCTGGCTGGCCTGAAACTCATTAAATATACTAGGCTTGCTTCAAACCTACTGCCTCTGCTTCAAATCTGCCTGCCTCTGTGTCCTGAGTGCTGGAATTCAAGGGTTGTGCCATAACCCTTAGAACTTTTAAGGAAGAGAAGTAATTTAATTGTGTCAGAACCTAGAACCATTGGCGGATGAAAGGGGTTCAAATATGAGTAATTTGAAGTAGTTGAATATCCTAGAGATGAACCAAGTGAAAAAGATTCAGATACATTGCATGTCCCAAATAGTTGATCTGGGTAAGTTCTGAATTGAAAGCTAACCTATGCACGCCCTCCCAGCACATCTGTAAGCAGGATGCTATACCTGGGCCAAGTATACTGCATGACAAGTTTCAGGGTTTCCAGTATCTTCAACCTTGCTTCTTCTTCTGGTCCATCATAAACCTCCAGATAACCAACAATAACTTGCTGCAGCCTCTTCATGTGCCGGACAGTTAGGATCCCCAACCTAAAAACAGAAGAGGAAATGAGATGCTAACAAGTTGAACATGGTGTGTGTGACCAGAGCAGCCCAGGCACGTACTTCTTCACAAAGGCGGGCAGGTTTCTGGCGTACGTCCTACGTAAGAGAAGGCGATGCTCTGGCTCCATGTGGGTGAGGATGAGTTGAAGTACGTCATGACAGTGTGCAGTGGCTCGAGCTGCATCTCCCTTCCAGTGCAGAGCTTTCTCTAGGACAGGGAATAAATCTAGGAGGCACAGGAGCACAGCCTAGAGAAAAGAATGAAAGGAAACCAGAGTTCATTCATTTGCGTCCACAGCATTTCTGACTCTTCTAAGATCTTCATTAATCTACTGCCCCTAGGATATGTCACAGAATTCTAAAAGACATATTACTGCAAATTTTCAAACCTCCTCTCAAGAACTGTTCTTTAGTAATCTGTGACGTGGAAAGAATGGCTGAGCTCAGGCCTTGCTTAACCCAGGAATCTAGATCTATTGTCCCTTAGACTTAGTGATCCATGATAGTCACAGGCACTTTATATCAAACTGCCCGACAGAATCTAAGATGGCCCAAACTTCTTTATTTGAAGTCATCATGTCCAGGCATTCCCTTTTAGCCCTCTGGCTTTTCTAGGTGACTGACAATTTTAAAAATCTCCTTTCTCCACCATGCTAATAAATTTTCGATCTAATATTAAGTGGATTCCCAGGACCCAAAATATTACAGATAGAGAAAGCACAGAACAGAAGCAGGGAGGAGCTGCTGATCACTGTGCTGTGCACCTGCCATCTGCCTTCCCAGCACTTAGCAGAGTCAGTGCAGGTTTCCGGCCAGCTAGAATCAGACCCTGATACAGAAAACGAGCAACAAGTTGAGGAGGCTCAGTGGAGAGCACTTTCTTTGTATGTATGAGGACTGGGATTCAATCCCAGCACACAGAAAACCAAGATAGCTCTACTAATAACTTTCTATAGCTTGTTTCTTCTGTCTTCACAGTGTTCTCCCTCCTAAGAACCTACTTTTTACCCTTCATTAACATCTATCCTGTCATTCCCAGTCTCCTAAAGCTACCTTCAAACTTGCTAGTTGCCTATTGCCGCTGGTCACACATTGCACCTCTCGTAATACAGTTATTGCTGTATTGTACATACACAGGGATCGATGTATTTACATAGTCATGTATTTACATAGAAGTCTCCCAAAGGGCTTCAAGCTAGAAACACTCCCTGAATCACTTATTCTTGAACCTACCACAAACACGTGACAACTATCAGTTAATGGTGTTGGCTGCAGAATGACACTGAAGTATCCACATACAAGAGGTTTCAAATCCATTTGTTGACATGGACCAGCATAGAGGAACATTTAATTAATAAAAACAGACCTACCTGCAAGTAGCGTATAGTTGACACTCATGAAGATAAAAGTCGGCTGCTCTGCAGATGCTCAGGAGAGTGGATGCCCGCTTAACACTGAGATGCAGCAGCTTTCAGGCGCCCTCCTTTTCCCAGGGGACAACAGCTCTAAACTGCTCTGGCTTATGCAATACTACCCTCGACGCATCCCAGAACCCAGGCGGTTAGGAGTAAATCTTACACACCTGAATGAGGTGGTGCTCTGGCATGTACAAGTGGTTGAAAAGGGCGTGGTACAGGACCTGGGCTCTGTTGTACTGCAGCAAATCAGCAGCGGGCTGCAAACACACAAATTATCCGGTTAAAGGTTTCTCAAGAGTGGCAAAATGTTGCTAATTTTAAATTAGATTGGGGGGGGGGCGGGCTGGAGAGATGGCTCAGAGGTTAAGAGCACTGACTGCTCTTCCAAAGATCCTGAGTTCAATTCCTGGTAACCACATGGTGGCTATAACCATCGGTATTAAAATTTGATGCCCTCTTCTGGCCTGCAGGTGTACATGCAGAGTACATAAAAAAATACAAATAAATAAAATTAAAAACAAACAAAAATAAATAAATAAATTAGATATGGGTATATGCAAACTTAGTAAACCACTCTCTTCTGCATGTATTTTAGGAGCACCACAGTACAAAAGTCTCCTTCAGCAACACTCTGTACATTTTTTGAGTTCTGACTTTTTTTTAGTTTTTTTCGAGACAAGGTTTCTCTGTAGTTTTGGAGCCTGTCCTGGAACTAGCTCTTGTAGATCAGGCTGGCCTCAAACTCACAGAGATCTGCCTGTCTCTGTCTCCCGAGTGCTGGGATTAAAGGTGTGTGCCATTACCGCCTGGCCTGACTTTTTTTTAAACTTGAGAGGTACCAGTTAATTTCTATAAGCATGTTTTGTTTTTGCTTTTAGTTTCATTTAATATATATATTTATATAAATATATATATAAAATGAAGAATGACTTTACGTCTCTTCTAAAATTGCCATTTTATTTATTATATTATCAGTGAGATACTATTTCCACCAGATTGGGGGAGAAAGATATATATATGTGGAGAAAAAATATAAATAAGTACATTAAATGACAACATGAAGAGAAAGCTACTTGTAAGACATAAGCAGAGAAAAACAGCTGAGAAAGGAAGCGCAGTCGTGAGTAGCTCAGCCTGCCCAATCAGCACAGGCCGGAGCGAGGCTGCTCACCACGTTAATCACAATGTGATGGAGGCATTGCACACCCAGGACTTTATTCTCTGTCTGATAGTCATCTGAGATGATCAAAGACGGAGGAAGTATCTTCTCCAGGTGCTGGCTCAGCCAGGGCTGCGTGACCTGCTGCAGAGTCCAGGAGAAAACATGTTTAACAGCGGGATTATTCTTCCAGGATTCCCTGCAAGGACCACATGAAAAGCACACTAAATAAAATGACACAGTATTAGCAAAGAAACTATTTAAACTTTAACCGATTTATACATATACATTTATGCATGTATGTGTGTGTGTGTATATATATATATATATATATCTCCTATACAACTTGTTTTCTCAAATACATTTTATGATTTGTATTGAATTACTTTACATAACCTGCATTATATACATTCATCAACTGCCCAAACTCTGGGTAATCTAAGCTTATCAAATAAGCAGCAGCCATGTACGACAGCTATGTAAAAGTCCTCTAGGGTCCATGGTCATGTTGGCGGATGATGTGCCAGGTGCTGAGAAGAGAGAGGAGAGGAAAGGTGTCTCATCATTACAACGTCCAAGTATCAAATCAGAACACGAGCACCAACTCCTAGTTTATAAAAGGAGTCTGCACATCTGACTCAACCTCCTCAAAATAATTACTGTATAACAGCTATATTGCCTTGAGTTACAAATAATAAAATAAGATTCATGGACACTACCTGACCTAGTCCTAGCCAAAACAATAAAAGAACACCAAAACTGTGCACCTCTGTAATCTTAAGCATGAAGCAAACTGAGGCAGGAGGGTCTCTCAAGGTTGAGGCCAACGTGGACTACATGAGGAGCTCAGAGACAGGCTATAAAGTAAGCATGTCAAGAAAGAAAGAAAGAAAGAAAGAAAGAAAGAAAGAAAGAAAGAAGGAAGGAAGGAAAGAAAGAGGCGCTAGTTTCAAAGCCTTTTAGCGCCAAGTTTATTTTGTGTCAGCATCTGGTGCCAGAAGACTAGGGATCCAGCTCAGGCAGTAACGGGCTTCCTAACGCGCACAAAGCCCTGGGCTCAATCTGAGGCAGTGCACACAGCAGGCATGATGGGGCACGCCTGTGGGGCACATAATTAAAAATAATAAAATCCTTTTAAAGGGGGGAAAAAAAACCCCTGCCTGGAATAGATGTGGTGACACACAAAGAAATTAGAGGCAGACCAATCTGTTGGTTCCATGTTGGCCTGGTCTATAGAAGAGTTTCGGGTCGGCCAGGGCTATATAGTGAGACTCTACCTCAAAAATGAATAAATAAAATATAAATAAACAAAATTAAAACCTGGCTGGAAACAAAACAAAAAACTAAATGTAGCAAGTCAAAATTCACAGCAAGTACTTTAGCTAATAAAATCCAATTCAGTCTACTTTATAGTTTTAAGTGGTTTTCATCATTTTATTTCTATTAGTTCTTTATTTAATAATCATCCTAATTTAATAATTAACAGTTATCAGAGTTAGAGGTCCCAATATTTAAATCCAAGCTGAAAGATTGGTGCTTAGCATAAGATACTTGATTCCATACATATGGGACAGAATTTCCAATTTCCCAAGGCAGTCGTTCTATGCAGAAAAATGGAGTTAGAAGACTACTGTTCTAATGTGGAGTTTGCTTCTATCTAGTTGGTTACCTCGTTTCTACCGGGTCACAACCGCTCTGGCCCTTAAGAGATCGAATATGCCAACATTTCTATCTGCCTGCTAGTAGTGAAACGTGCAGTACTCACTTATTCAAATGGGGTTTCAGAAGCCCCAAGACCGCAGCAAATCTCCCTCGGTCATCCTCATTTTCCCCGCATAAGAATCCTGCCACAGAACTGCACTCCGTAACCCTAAGCAGTAAGGACAGCGCCTCATCAGCCACCTGCTGAGATCTTGTACTGGTCCAGGGCTGCTTCAGTCTGTGTGTGACGGCAAAAACATACACGGGTCCCGCCAAGTGGCGGAGGCCTGTCTTCCACGCAGGGCAGACGGGAGAACTCTTTGCAGTACTTTCCACCTTCCCCAGCAGCTTGAGAAACAGTAGCCCGACTTCGGTTGCCTTCTCGGGCACTTCGGAATGGCCATCGCCTCCCTCTGTCTTCTCCTGGGGCGGGGCTGCGAACTTCTCCAGGGCCTTCGCCACCTGTCCCAGGACCTCGGGCATCCCCCGAGTCCCACTCCCCACAAATAACTCGTTCCCATCGGCGGCCTCGATTAAAGCACTGAGGTCGTGCAGGACGGAGGGTCTGGCGTGGCCCCGGCCTGACGCCTGGCTAAGACCGTGCAGAATCTTGGAGAGGGAATTTTCGAGGGTGCGGGCAGAGCCCTCGGAGGGCGGGGAGGTGTCGTCCAGCTTCATTTCCGCTCGCTCCCGGGTGGGTTGGGTTCCCCACCGGGGACGGAGACCCAAGCGTGGAGGGCTCTGGAGTCTCAGAGGGAAGGTCGCCCCCGGGAGGGGAGTCTCCCAACGAACGGCACGGAAATCAGAGACAGACGAGTCGAGTGCAAGGGGCCTTGCTAGGGCGAGAGCCTCAAACTCCTAACACGTGGCAGAATTAATCCCTCTGAAGACCGAGCACCAAAAAAAGTAAGTTTTAAAGATAAACTACTGAGCCATGACACCTGCGAGGATCCCAGGACCTAGAACTTTCCCCGTGCAGACTCTGCACTCAGCAACTTCCGGCTCCGGGCTCATTGTCGCCGTAAAGTGCAAAAATTACTTCCGCCAGGGTAGCCGCAACGCTTCTGGTCACGACTTACAGCCGAAAAGCAACAGCAGGGCGGAGAGGGAACGCAGTGAAAGGTGGAGCTATGAAGAATATATTTGCATAATTAAGCGTCCACTCGATAATTTTGCTGCTAATTTTATTTTTCTAGAGCAAGGACAAAAGCCTGCTCACAAAAATCTCCCTAGTAGATTTTAATTGTACGAGATTTTGTGTGCAGAAGCTAAATATGGCCGCACTATGGCAGTCGCCCTCTCTGTAAAACCTGTAGGACTGACTTGACTGTTCCTCTCGCACGCAGGAAACCCGATCCTTTCATGGTTCATAAGCGTGATGATTGGGGTTTCACGCTAGTGCGTGATATGTGCCGCCCATTAAACCTTGTTACGACGTTGGCACATTACCCGTCTGACGTGAACTTAAGAGGATCCTTAGTTTTGGTTTGAATTTTAAGCTGAGTCACTAATTCTGGATACCTTCAAACATACATTATTATGAGTATACTTCTTTTGAGGAATATTGTAATGTGTGTGTTTGTTTAGTCCACAAGCATATCCGTGTATCGCCTGTGCATCTGGTCTGTAGAAGGATGTTCATATGCTCCTAAGACCATACACTTCTCTTAATAGAGGTTATTGTTACAAGTAATTACTCTATTTTTGTAAATATATAGTTCATACGTTTAACCATGTATCTCGTGCGTTCCTGGACCCTGTGGAAGTCAGGAAGTCTGGTTCGCTGAACTTGAGTTTGTGAAGGTTGTTAGTCATGGCATGCCTTTAACTGCCGAGCCATATTTTGGTTGTGAGCCCAGGGCTGAGCCATTTCTCCCGTCAACAATCCCTTGAGCTCCACAACACGCACTTCATGGTGCATTATCTGCAACTACCCTGTGATGCCTAACTGCCCCCCTTTTCCTGTGTGACATTTTGCATAAGTGCAATAGCTCAGATCTCTGTGTCTTAGTTTCTGCATTGGGGACATTTTTTTTTTTTAGATAATGAGTTCCCACTTCTTAGGACTGTTGGGAGAATTTATTTTTAAGTTTAATGCATGTAAATGCTTAGAACAGCATCTGATAGGCATAAAGGCCATACAGATGTCACTCCTGTGGTTAGGCCACAGCACTAGCAGTAACTTGTGTTTCTTCTTTCCGAGAAAATTTGGTCATTAGAATCCTAACTCAAGGTCTCTTTCGTTTGGCTTTTCCTACATTGACCAATTGGTGGCACTCCTGATCAATCACTGTTAAGCACATCCATAAGAACCTTCCTACACAAAAGCCCAAGTGCAGCACGGCGCTGGTCAATAAGAGGTTATTGTGTTCCTTCTGTGTGGGACGTTTCTTCTTGGTAACATGTGCCCCTTGTTTTCAGTGGATCCAGGCGTCCTCTTGGACTTAAGGAAGGCTCTTTATTATAGAGATCTCTCGCTGAGCTTCCTGAAGCCAGAGTTGGCCTTGCCTTTACTCCTAGTGCCTGGCACAATGTAGCCGGGCAACAAATGTATCCCGAACCTCCATGTCCAACACACAGAGGACAGACTGAATTGATCACGGTCCATGCACACATTGAAGCTGCATGGATCTGCATCCACACAATGCTGCTCGGTACAGCTGCGCTGAGAAAAAGAGAGCAATCTTTGTGTAATGTTGTGAAACTCCGGGATATATAATGAGTGAAAAGAGTAGAGGGGACGCAGTGTAAGTTTTGTCTTGTAAAAAAGATGGGAAAATAGATAGCAAAAATGTACGCATTTTTTTTGTAGAAATGGAACCTAAACAACAAACTCATAAAAATAATTACACGTAGGGTGTACTGGCTTATTTTGTAACAACTTGACACAAGCTAGAGTCACTGGAGAAGAAGGAGCCTCAGCTGAGAAATTGCCTTCATGAGATACAGTTGTAAGGCATTTTCTCTATTAATGACTAATGGGGGAGAGCCCAGCATTGTAGGTAGTCCCATCCCTGGGTTTATGACTTTAGTTCTATAAGAAAGCAGTAAGAGGAATGAAAGCTAGACACTTCCCCCTCTCTCTCACACACACATGGTTTTGACTTTGGAATCATGTAAATGCTTACATAGTTATTATCAGGCATAGCAGCACAAAACTATAATACCAGTATTTGGGAGGCTAAGACGGGAAGATCCAGGCCAGCCTTGGCTAAATAATAATGCAGTTTATTTGGGGGGCATGTGTGCCTAGCATGCACAAGACAATGAACTATAATCCCCAGCACCCCATGAAGCTACGTGAAGGCCTGACTCGAAAGGAAGGAAGGAAGGAAGGAAGGAGGGAGGGAGGGAGGGAGGGAATTACAAAGTCACCTTCACTAGAATGGCTAAAAAGAACAAAACTGAAAACTTTGGCAAGGACTTGGGGAATCTGGGAAAGAATATGAAATGCCCGCACGGTGGTGAATGAAGTGGTGAAAATGTTGTGGAACAGTCTGACAGCTTTTTTGAGAATTAAACAGACTTAACGGAGTTGAACAGGATTCAGCAATTCTCTTCCTAGATATATAACCAAGACAACTAAATTCTTGTACTGATACAAAAATTTGAACATGAATGTTCACAGCTACAATCTTCTTAAGCAGTGAAATCAGTTCAACAGAAAAAAAAAATGGATAAACGCTATAGCTCATAGGGCAGACATCACCTAAGGCCCATATCAAAGGCTTGTTTCCCTGAGTGATCCTGGAGGTTTTGCCAGTCAGGCATGCATTGCTGTGTTAATACTTGAGAGTGTTCTCCCCCATTCCCAAGACAGGGTTTCTCTACATAACAGCAAGGAACTCTCCCGACTAGGCTGGCCTTGAACTCAGAGGTCCACCTGCGTCTGCCTCCTGAGTTCTGGGATTAAAGAAAGGCATATGCCACCACTGCCTGGTGAGATGTTTTTTTTTGGGGGGGGGGGTTCAAGACAGGGTTTCTCTATGTAACACTCCTAGCTGTCCTGCAACTAGCTCTTGTAGACCAGGCTGGCCTCGAACTCACAGAGATCCACTCGCCTCTGCCTCCCAAGTGCTGGGATTAAAGGCGTGCGCCACCACTGCCTGGAGTGAGACTATTCTTATAAGGAAGGAAAGATTATTTGGCTTATAGTCCCAGATGTTCTATGCCTTTGAGTATGTGGTAACACAGTAGATCATGGTAGGAGAAAATGAAAAAGACTGCTCCTCCTGTAGCATCTGGAAAGACAGGCAGGCACACACACACACACTCAAGTGGGAGGCAGGAAGAATGACTAGGACCATATCTCCAATGTTTCCTTTGAAGCCAGGCCTCTGATGATCCAAAAGCTTCCTGCCAGGCCTTCCTTCGAAAGGTTCTACCACCTTTAAGTAGTGCCTCAATTTAGAGACCAAGTTTTTGTCATGTGAAACTTTGGGATAATAGTTCACATCCAAACAAGCCTTTGAGGGGAGTGATTGTGCTCTGCCATGAACTCCCTGGATGATTCGCCACAGGTCCAACGCAACCTGGCCAATAGATTATGTACTAGAATCGGCATAACAATGAAACAAACCTTTCTTCTTCTGCAGAAGTTGACTAGCAGCGCCACTTCACTATGATGAAAAAAATCTAGCAAGAAAATAAAGGGTGATAGATACATTGATGTGGGAGGTCCTTCTGTGTATGTTTTGCTTTTATTGGTTGATGAACAAAACTGTTTTGGCCAATGGCTTAACAGAGTAAAGCCAGGTGGGAAATCCAAACTGAGATATGGAGAGAGAGAGAGAGAGAGAGAGAGAGAGAGAGAGAGAGAGTAGGCGGTGTCAAGGGGATGCCAACTAGCCACCGAAGAAACAAGACATGTAGAAAATGAGGTAATGACATGGCCACATGGCTATATATAGACTAATAGAAATGGGTTAATATAAGATGTAAGAGCTAGCTAGAAATATGTCTGAGCCATCAGTTAAACAGTGTTATAATTAATATAATTTCTGTGTGACTATTCGGGTCTGGGCAGCTGGGAAGAGGAAGCACAGTCTCTGCTTACAGTACACACAGTAGGATTTTGCTTAGCCATAATTAATGAAAGTTTTTGGTTTGTTCTGTTTTGTTTGGTGATCATGTTTAGTGCTGGGAATTGAACCTGCGCCCTTACCCATGCCAGACACATGCTGCATCCCTGAACTGTGCCCTCAGCTGTGAGATTCTGACGCATACTACAAAATGGATGAACTTTCAAGACATTATGCAAAGCAAAATAAGCCAGTGATAAAGGCACATGTTTATAACTTTACTGATGTGAAATCTCCAGAGTACCTGTATCAATAATGTCACAGCAAAGACCAGTGGTTCCTAAGAGATAGGAGGGGGAAATGGAGGATAAATGAGAACATTTACGGGGTTTGCTTTTAGGATGCTAAAAATGTCCTGAATGTGGTTAGTGGTATGATTGCCCTAAAATGGAACATTATGGTTTGTACATAAAATTTCAGTTAAAAAGTGCTAAGGGCCAGCGAGATGTTTTCATACACTGAAATCCATGTAAAGGTGGGAAAAGAATCAACGCAACTATCAAATGCAAATAATTATATGTAAAGATATGGGCTCTGGACCGCAAGGATAAATAAGTAGCTTTTGGTTCATACAGCAAAAACACGAGGACAAAGAGCAGGCATTTTAGTGTCACACCACACTAGCCTGAGGATTCTCCAGCCGTGTGTTTTGATTTTGTTTTTTGTTTGTTTTTTTAGGGATGCAAAGCTAAACCAAGTAACCTTGCTAAATGATGCTTGGGCAATGTACAAGGTAATGTGGGGCTGCGTGTATATAATAGTGCTTTTTTTTTTTAAAAAAAAAGAATATCAGTGCTAGGTTTGTGTAAGCTCATGCGAAGGTCAAAGGTGAAGCCTAGATTTACAAGCACAGGTAGAGGATGCCTACTCTGAGGGGCAGAGTAGACAGTGTTGACGTGAGGGAAGGCAGACTGAG